GCTTCCTAAACAAATGTTTGTGGGGCCACACAAAAAGAATTAGACACAGAGAGGAATTTTAAAAACAAACTTTGCTATGTTTCTTCCTGTCTACCACACCTAGTTCATCTTAGGCTGTTATTTATGATAATAGCTCCCTTCTTGGAACAGGTCTTTCATGCAAATTCTTTCAGGTATTCAGGGAGAAGGTCAAAGGTTCTTCCTGAGCCTTCTGTTTCTTATAAATAATCAGCCTAAAATAATCCATATGCCAAAGAAACACATTTTGGGGTGGCAAAATTTTCTCCCCTACAGTCCCTTTTAAGAGTAGTTAGGTTGGGGGGCACCTGGGTGGCTCAGTGGGTTAAGCAGCCAACTTCCGGCCAGGTCATGATCTTGCAATTGGTGAGTTCCAGCCTCACATGGGGCTCTGTGCTCTCAACACAGGGCCCGCTTCTGAGACTGTCTCCCTCTCTCTCTGCCCTTTCCCTGTTCACGCCCTTTGTCTCTCAAGAAAAAACATTAAAAAAAAAAAAAAAAAAAAAGTCGTTAGGTTGGTGTTTTGCTCTTATTTTTTTACCTGTCCTTTTAAAAATCAGTTTCTTTTTCGTTTTTTGATCAGCCATGGTCAGTATTGTCTCTTCACTGCCTCTTTAATCAGAAACCTTACACACACGATGCAGGAAAACCAAATCCCCCTCTGCCCACGACTTGCCCGGAAAAGTCTGCAGTCCTTTTAGCTCTAAAAGCTTTAGATGTTTTAGACCTTTGCCCTTGTGGCAGTCCACAGCAAACAGAAGTGCAGGGCTGGCTCTTCCACCCCCGAAAGCCTCCCCTCGGCGTCTTCTGGGCCAGGGCAGCGAAGCGTTTCCGCAGGGCCTTGAACTCCTGCGCGCAGAGGTCCTTAGTCAGGCGGCCTCCCGGGGCTGTGGACGCCTGCACGCACCTGCCGTAGGCCGCGGCCTCGGCCCCATAGGCCGGTGGGTGTCCCCGGAAAGCGTGGAGTTGGCCTCGCAAGCGCCCCCACACCGCTCTGTTCCACGACAAGAGTAGCTCCTCCTGGCGCCCGTGGGCGCCGCCATCTTAGGTCCATCCTCTTCCCTAAAATCAGTTTCTTAAAAAAATTCTTTTTGATATATAGCATAGAGTAATAATTCAGATTACATAGAAAGGTTTTCAAATGAAGACAGTCTTCATCTCATTTCTTCTCAACTCATTGTTTCCTACCTCAGTTCCATTGTCCAGAATCCACCTTCCAGCGTAAGAAACAGAATATAACCAGGCCCTGCAAGCACCGCACCATGTCACGTGCCTTCTCTTTTTCTTTCTCTTCCTGGATCCCGCGGTATTCACTCACCGGAATTCTGTTTATTATGGTTGCTTGCTTCTCAATTTTACCACATATGCATGTGCCATAACTGACATGCTGTGTCATTTTGCATGTTTTTAAAGTTAATATATTAGTCATGACACGTATATTAGTTTGTGACTTGCTTTTGTGACTCAGTCTTATGTTTTCGAGATGCATTCATGTTAATGGTTGTAGCTGTAGTTTATTAGTTTTCATTGTTGGATAGTTGGCCATTATATGAACATATGAATACACCACAAATTATTTATCCATTGTACTCAGGGTACACTTTTACTATCCCTCTATCCCTGTTCCC